GCCTCTTTTCATTTCTAACCTTCTGGGCCTTCCTATATGCAGGCTGCTCCCTAAGACACCATGCCTAGCCAATGCCTGCTCTCCTTTGGGGACCCACACAAGCATCATCTCCTCTTCAAGTTCCTAGTGTTTCAGAAGCAATAAGGAAGCCAGAGTGGCTGGAGCAGAAGGAGGAGGGAAGGGAATGCGGTAGAACATGAGGTCAGAGTTCATCATTGCTTTACAGATGTACTCACAATCCTTCTGACATAATATATGTGGGGTGTTTCTTCCCACCAACCAATTCTCCAACTTCCCAAACAACAACTTGGTGACCTACATTCAATTCAGTTCCGATACTACCCGGAGCTAGCACAGACCCCAGAGGTAAGGGCTCAGCCCCACAAGTCTTCCCTCCTCTTCTGACACCAGTCAGCAAGTCTAGGGCACACAAACTTCTGAAGGACTGGTTATAAAGTCCAAGGGTTTCCAACTCTTGAGCTACAGTAGCTCACAGAACTCAGATAAGTGCTTCACTACTATTACCAGTTTATGATAAAGGATAAAATTCAAGAACAGGCAAAGATACTCAGCAATAAACAAGAATAAAATCATGGCATTTGCAGGTAAATGGATGGAGCTGGAGAATATAATGCTAAATGAAGTTAGCCAATCCCAAAAAACCAAATGCTGAATGTTTTCTCTGATATAAGGAGGCTGATTCAACATGGGGTTGGGGCGGCCGGGTAAAGGCATGGGAAGATTAGACAAACTCAGATAAGGCAGAGAGGTGGGAGGGGAAGGGGAGTAGAAAAGATGGTGGAATGAGATGGACATCATTACCCTCAGTACATGTATGAAGACACGAATGGTGTAAATATACTTTGTATAAAACCAGAGATGAAAAATTGTGCTCTATAGGTGTAGTATGAATTATAATGCATTCTGCTGTCATATATAACAAATTAGAATAAAAGATTAAAAAAAAAAAAAGAAGAAGAAGAGGCAAAGAGAGAAATGCAGAGGGCAAGAGATGGGGGATGGTGCACAGAGCTTCTGATCTCTCTCCAGGCACGGCATTCTCACAGAATCTCAATGTGCTTACCATCTGGAAGCTCTGAAACCATCGTTTAGGATTTTCATGGAGGTTCCATTCTGTAGGCATGACTGATTAAAGCATGGGGCCACTGCTGATTAGCTCATCTCCAGTCCCTGTCACCTCCCCAGAGGTTGGGGGGGGTGGCACAGAAAGTTCTTACTCCCTAATTACATGATTGGTTCCTCTGGCAATCAGTATCCATCTGAAGCAGCTATCTAGGGGCCCATCAAGGGCCACCTCATTAGCAGAAACTCAGATATGTTGAAAAGAGCTTATTTTGAATGACAAAAAAATGTTCCTATCACTATCACTCAGGAAATTCCTAGGGTTTCAGCTCTGTCAAGAACCTAGGACAAAGATCAAATACCATTTCTTATTTTCACACTCTTGCCTTAGGACTTGGATACTTTTTGGTTTCCCAGCACAGAAGACTTCCCTGAAATCTGAATCATTCAGGTCTCTGCTCAAACCTTACCTCACAAGCATTCTCTGGCCACCTACTTAAATAGAATCTTCCTCCCCACCTATGCCCTTTTTTTAAATATCCCTATCATGATTTATTTTCTTCCCAGCACTTAGCAGTACCTAAAATAACAATATTTGTTTACCCCCCCTTTCTTTTCTCCATCTCCTACTAGAATGTAAATTCCTCGAGGGCGGGGTCTTGCTCTTACCTGGCTCCCCAGGGCCTAGTATCCCTGACACATTAAAAAAAAAAAAAAAAAAGGCTGGAACTATAGCTCAGTGGCAGAGCTCTTGCCTAGTATGTGTGAGGCACCAGCTTCTATCCCAAGGGCCACATAAAAATGAAACAAATAAAATAAAGGCATGTTGTCCATAAAAAAAAAAAAAAAATTTAGGGACTATATTCCCATTGAGGCAGGAGGATCCCTTGAGCCCAGGAGTTTGAGGGCAGTCTGGGTAACATAGTGAGTCCCTATTTCTTAAAAACAAATGATGATTTGTTAAACATATGATGATAACAGAAGGATGATACCTACATTAGGGCAAGGAGTACAGCTTAGTTGTAGAGTGTATGCTTAGCATACTCCGGGCCCTAGGTTCAAGCCCCAGCACCAAAACAACAAAAACCCCACCTACATCAAAGGGTGTTGAAAAAGTACACACAGAGGGATATAAAGTGCTTAATATAATTCCTAGCACATAGTAAGCTCAATGACGTTGGCTAAGGCTATTATCAAAGGAATCCAGAAGAACATGAGGTTAATGTGGGCCAGAGCAGTTACAGAAGGTATCAAGAAGGGGTCAGATCATGTGCTTGATCTGGAAGAATGAGGTTTTTTTTTTTTTTCCTCTCTCTAAGTTGGGACACTGTAGAAATTGTTAAGTCTCCTCTGCAGAAGCCATCCCTCCCCAATGTAGGCTGTCTTCACATTCCACATCAAATGCAGTCTCCAGGGACTGGGAGTGTGTAGCTTAGTGATAAAGTACTTGTACAGCCTGTGTGAAGCACTGGGTTTGATTCTCAGCACCACATAAAAAAATAAATAAAAATATGCCAGGCACTGTGGTGCACACCTGCAATCCCAGTGGCCTGGGAGACTGAGGCAGGAGTATCGTGAGCTCCAAGCATCTTATCAAGGTGCTAAGCAACTCAGTGAGACCCTGTCTCTAAATAAAATACGAAATAGGGTTGGGATGTGGCTCAGTGGTTGAAAGCCCCTGAGTTCAATTCTAAGGACCCAAAAATACTAATTAATTAAATAAAGGTATTGTGTTCATCTACAACTAAAAATAAAAGTAAAAAAACCTATAAAAATGCAGTCTTCATACTGTAAAGAATCATCTACTGATCAGCATCTCTCTGGCTTGACCATCCATTAATCCACTTTTCTTTCTTTTCTACACCAGAGACTAGATAAATTTCACATCTAATGGTCCCTCAATAATATTGTTAAATTGATTAATTTCAGAGACCTATAGAAAAGAAGCAACCCAGGGCTGGGGATGTGGCTCAAGTGGTAGCATGCCCACCTAGCATGCATGAGGCACTGGGTTCGATTCTCAGCACCACATAAAAATGAAATAAAGATATTGTGTCCACCTAAAACTAAAAAAATAAATATTAAAAAAAAAAAGAAAAGAAGCAACCTACTCTTTGGTCCAGCAATCTAGGCTTTTGTGTCTATCCTAAAGAAATACTCAAGAGTCAGCATTAGTTCAAGTATAAAGATCATGTCCACTTGCACATGCGAATGTGTGTGTGTGTGTGTGTGTGTGTGTGTGTGTGTGTGTG